TATAAAATAAATTGATTGATTGATTGACATGCAACACCAGTAGCTTGCAAGGCTGCAACTTGCAAGCAGCATGCCACTGGCGCTGGGCAATGAGAAATTTAGGAGGGTGTTTGTCTCCAGTTGTAGCCTAGATAGGACGCCTTCCTTTTGGACCAAACGGTGGCAACATTGAAGGCCCACCGTAAAGATCTTTTCTAAAGTCGTGTTGCTGCAGGTGCTCTCCTGCGGTTGCAGAGAGGCAGAGAGGAGCTTGGCTTTTCGAAGTATTGGTCATTTGATTATCAAAGAGCATCAGTCGAAGCTGGAAAAGCTGCACAAAAAGTGATTTTTGGGCATAGACAGCTGTGACCTGGACACAGCCTGGCCATAAGACTCTACAGGTTTGGGAATCATGGTACGGCAGCTCGCTTCCCTTTTATTTCAACTGAATGCTGCTGTTGATGTGCTGCCGGGCATAGGCGATGATGAGCCTTCGAGCACTGTGCCCGTCACTTCTGAGGTTCCTTATTGTTGTTTGCAGTGTCCTGAGCCATAAAAGCTTTTGTGCGGTGTATTCTTTATGTGTTGCCAAACAACGATTGCAATTGAATCGGCGTGTTGTGCTTGTGCGAAGGACGAAGCTTGAAGCTTATGTTGTTCTGCAGGCTGCGTTAACTTCATGTTGCAAATTGCTCAGAAGAATTGAGGATTGATTTGCTTGTTTCTCTGCAGGCAACTCTTGCTGATTCCTTCCTGGCGGATCTGGAAGACCTGTCCGACAATGAAGAAGGGTCTGAGGTAAGCACACTTTTTTGGTTTCCGTGAAACATTCTCTTTGAGCCCCAAACACAAGGCTTTGACATTGCTGATTAGCCCATCTGTTCCGCAAGGTTGTGCTCGCCCCTCCAAATCTCGGTAGGATTGAGCAAAGAAACTTCAAACATGTTCTGTGATGCCTCATCATACTTGGCAAAAGCAGCAAGCATTAAGCACAGGTCTGTAAGTGGTGGTACCACGGTTTGTGCTCGGGAATGTGCTTGAGAGGTTGAATGCGCTCATCTTGATCTCTGCATTGCTGCCATCAATTGAGGATCATCGTCAATTCGTCAATTCGTTGTGCAGGAAGAATTGGAGGTCCCAGGGGATGCTATGGAGGAGGACCACGGCGAGGAAGAGAAGGACCTCGAGGCAGTCAATCCTGATGACCTGGACTCAATTGCAAAGCTGCAGAAGGGGGAAAGATACAACCGGGTCCTGAGGGTAAGCACTGAAGGCCCCCTGTTCATCAGCTGCGGGCGCAGGCTGGAATATTGTTTGAAGCTCTTCTCTCTTTTTCTAGCCATGCTAGTATGATCAGGAGGTTGGAACACCAGCAACCACCAGCGACTTTTGGTGTCACCTTCATTCCTGCATCACCTGTCTCAAAACATTGACAAGCAGCATTCTGTGACATGCTGGTTCATGTGCCGCCACCCCGTGCAGAAGACTGCTTCAATCTCGCTTTGCATGGCAACCTTGACAATTCCATCCACAGCATCGCATCATCTTTTGCTGAGTGTGCTCTGGTTCTGCAGGAGGTTGAGGCCGGCCTCGAGAAGGACGGGAGCAACATCGTGCGCGGGGTGGGGGTTGAGGACGACCCTGAGTACAAGCTGATAGTGGAGGGGAACCAGGTGATGGTGCAGATCGACAACGAGATTGGAGCCATTCACAACTTCATCCGGGACAAGTATCGCACCAAGCTGCCGGAGCTGGAGTCGCTCGTGCTGCACCCCATCGATTATGCCCGGGTGGTCAAAGCGATCGGGAACGAGATGGTGAGTAAAATTGAGCGTTTGGTTGTCCATGCCCCGATACTAAAAGATAGTGAGGCGGTTGAAGGGCATGAGTGAGGATTACACGATCCAACAGTGGTCTTACAAGTCTTGGCTGCGGTATCTTGTTTTATTCTGTTGGAAGCAGGATTGACTCGATTCATGTAGATTTGTTGACCAAGACTATACACCGGGGGAAGCTTTGAAGTCCGGTTGAGGTCTCCACTTGCTCCAGCTGACAATTCGTTCCAAAGGGATGTCGCTAATATTCCTCTTTTTCTGACCTGTGTCAGCCCGCTTCCTTTTGCAGGATTTGACCCTAGTCGACTTGGAGGGCCTACTCCCGTCTGCCACCATCATGGTGGTGTCAGTTACGGCTTCCACCACCAGCGGCAAACCGTTGACGGACGAGGTCTACCAGAAGGTGATGGACGCATGCAACAGGATACTCGACCTGGATGCGGCCAAAAAGAAGGTGAGCAACATCAAGACATTGCGATGCGACCTTCTCTTGAGAATGAATCCTCTTTCTTCGACCGCCAATCTCGTGGTTGCACTCTTCCGTCCAACGAGCAGGCCATGTCTGATTCAATATTTTTGTGACTTCGACCACCAACAGGATAGCATGCGAAATTCGGCGCAGAATAGTGCTCAGTCGATCTTACGTATCTTCCGGCCCCAGAATCCAGGCCGAACCCTGAAACTGATCGATTTGGACATCAATTACTTCTCTCTCTGTTCTTCTGTTTTCCGGCTCTTCCGAGGAACGCTCAGAGAGTCCTTCGCTCTTTTTGAAGAGTCTCTGACCAACTCAAACCTGCTGTCGCAGATCCTCAAGTTCGTGGAGAGCCGCATGCTGTTCATTGCCCCCAACCTGTCCGCGATCGCGGGCAGCTCCATCGCGGCCCGGCTGATGGGCATGGCCGGGGGCCTCGGCGCGCTCGCCAAGATGCCGGCCTGCAACGTGCAACTCCTGGGGGCCAACCGGAAGAACCTCGCGGGCTTTTCGACTGCCACGCAGCTGCCGCACACGGGGCTCGTCTTCCACACGGAAATTGTGCAGCAGACGCCGCCCGCGCTGCGCATGAAGGCGGCGCGCCTCATCGCTGGTGGGTTGACTCGAACATCTCGTTTGTGCCCTTGGACCTCCACTCCGACTGCCGAATTGAGTGCTCTTGCGGGGTGCGGCTTTTGGTTGTTTGCACGAACACTAACCTGGGAGGCTCGCAAAAAAAGCTGCCGTCCAATTCAGAAGTCTCCACTCGACCATCGCCGGTTGTATCTCGTATGCTGGATTCCTTCGGTCTTTCAGGTTCTGGTGGCTCCTGTACTTGTCCGTGTGGTTTGGTCGAGTAAGAGACAGTCTCTGCATGCGTACATCTTAGAGTGTTGGATATCTCTTTGCTGAATAGATGTACCTCGGGCTCAGGTAGTGTTGCAGCACCATAAAATCAAGTGGTAAGACGTCGGATTCAAGCGGTTGCCGTTTGCAGCTTGGCGTCGCTTTTTCAAAACTTGCTATTGGGTTCGGTCGGAAAAGATGATGCCTGAGGGACCTCTTTCCTTTCCATGCTTATCCTTAAGTGAGGAGGCTTTGTACACCTCTAACGCTTTTGGCCCTCCTTCCTTGCAGGCAAGTGCACGCTTGCCGCTCGCGTGGATCACACCCTGGGCGACACGACGGGCGGGCACGGGCAGGCGCTGAAAGACGAGATCATGAAGAAGATAGAAAAGTGGCAGGAGCCGCCCCCGGCCAAGACGGCGAAGCCGCTGCCGGTGCCTGACGCAGAGCCGAAGAAACGGAGAGGAGGCAGGAGGATGCGGAAGATGAAGGAGAGGTAAGACACTTGTGAAAGCGGCAAAGCTGCTCGTATTTGCTGCTTCCTCCTTAAATTGTCGGGAGAAGGGGCGGGAATTGCAAGCAAAAGGTGTTCAGCAATGTCAAGTCGTGGGAAAGGGTTTGCCGGACGGTTACAAGGGGCTTACGATGGTCTCGAAACGGGCAAGGTTTGACTTAGGTCTACACCATGCTGTCATTCTTCGCCGATCTTCCTTGCTTAGTGCAGGACACCCTCTCTTTTGACTTCTGTGGCATTCGTGAAAGCTGTGTTAGGCAAAGGCGGTCTGGCGGGCGAATCTACGGCCTGGTATCCCTGCTTTTTGAGCTCCCGTTCCGCCCCTTGATGCAGGTACGCCGTCACCGAGATGCGGAAGCTGGCCAACAGGATGCAGTTCGGTGTGGCCGAAGAGACAGACCTCGGCGCGGGCATCGGCGAGGGCTTCGGAATGCTGGGGCAAGCAGGGAGCGGGAGGCTGCGTGTGCAAGCGGCGCAGAGCAACCTCAAGTCGAAAGTCGCAAAGAAGTTTGCTAAGGAAAAGTCGTATGGTGGGGGTGGGGCCACGTCGGGCCTGTCGTCGAGTCTTGCGTTCACGCCTGTGCAAGGCATTGAGCTCGCGGATCCCTCGCAAGGGCGACGTGAGGCGCAGATCATGTCGGGGACTAGTTCGTACTTCTCCGAGACGGGAACTTTCTCCAAAGTAAAGAAGTAGTTAGGGTTTCTGCTTGATCTAGACTTCACATCGAAGATGACGGCTTGTCTTGTACAGTAATCCTTGCAACGGCCCTTAGACGGAACAACGTAGTATTTCAGACGAAGCGAACATCCAGGAGCCATTGACAGAGCCTTGTCGAGTACCTGCGTATGAGCATCACTGAAAAACATATGAGGAGAAGGCTTCGACTTGCAACGAATCTCATGTGCATACCTTGAATGAATCCGTTGTTATTGCTATCAATCACTTGTGGTTTTTCATTGCATCTACTAGTTACTGATACATCATCAGATTGAGGCATAATTGTTTGCGTCCGCACAAATGTTATACCATTACGACCATGCAAACTTTGCGCTGAGTAGATGCGTACTCGTAACAAAGCACATGGCTAATCACAATGCATTGCACTTTTCCACGGCCATGGTCATGATCATAAGTAGGTGTCATTGAAGCACATGTTCAAGGTTCTTATCAAATGGTTACGATGCGTGAGAGTTTATAATAACTTTCTGTCCAAATTCCCTGAAGCTACCCGGTGAGCGGCCCTGCAAAGAAGCCACGTGGTGACAGCAGGTATGAATGCGTCGTTTCCCAAGTTCTGACATTCTGTAACTAGATCGAAATCACGTTAGGACCAAAGTGATCAGCACAGCAGACTAGGGGAGGCGGCCATGCAGGTCAAGCCTGGCCGGCCACATTCTCGCACACAGTGACAGCTCTACTAGCCTCTAGCACGGCATTCCCGGCAATTGAGCCGTTCTAGCTGAAAATGGCTGCCCGCTCTGGTATCTCGTTACTCCGCAGCGCACTTGCCTGGCATCAAAGGTTAGCTCCAGATTTGATAGAAGCAGCCTGCTGTGGTGCACAGCAATCCGTTGATCGCTGCCGTTCTTTCTTTACTTCCAATCCACAATCAGCCGCCACTGAAGGCCCTGAGCCACCATCTATTTCGCCTTTGAAAGACAGAGGCCCTTACACGTCAAAGCTTACCAACCGCTCCGTGATTCACATTGATGGCCCCGACTGCATACACTTTCTGCAAGGTCTTGTGACCAACGACCTTGCTCACTTTGAGTCTGAGAAACCCCCCACAAGCTCTCTCCCAACGCCAAACCCCAGCCAGCCAGCAGCACAGCGGCCGCCAGTCTATGCTGCACTGTTGACACCTCAGGGGAGGTTCCTGTTCGACTTTTTCTTCTACAGGCCAGTAGAAGATCAGGAGAAACTTGACAGGGAAGGCACTGGGCCTGGCAAGGGGGAGACAGAGGGACTGTTTGCTGATGTCGATGCTGACACCAAGGACGAGCTTCTGCAAACCCTCAACAGGTGATACCGCATTTCGATGATAGGTGCATGCAACCCCAGTGGAAAATTGCAATGGTGGCGTTAAGTTTCTCTTGAGAGATTCGTTCTGCAACACCCTCACTATGATACTGTTTTTGATTATGCTCACCACAGCACGCATGCAAAGTTTAACGTCACCACTTGTTTCCGATGGGTTGTTACATGTCCTCGTAATATAGTATTTGTTTTGACAATCTGTTCAGACTGTGAAATCAAAGTTAAGTTAGATTCTTGTGGGACTGTTTGTAGGACTCAACAGTCAGCTTTGTGAGAAGTTTGCATACGTCAGCTGAATCTGGATCAGACCTCAGTGTGATCCTCACCCAGGGAAGAGACGTGCTATACCTCCACCTGAAGTTTGAATCAGCCTGTAGAGACATCTCCATCTCAGCGTTTTGGCTTGTCTCACAGGTACAAGCTGAGGGCCAACGTAGGAATCCAAGACGTCTCCAAAGACTTTACTGCTTGGGCGCGGTACGGCGGTGCGGTCTCCGAAAATCCAGAGGAGGGGTTTGAAGCAGAAGCTGGGGCGATAGGCTATGGGGGTACCACTGATAGGGCGGGGATGGTAGCTGCTGAAGCGGAAGGGGGGGGCTGGAGATGGGCCAAGGATCCAAGACTGGCTGAGCTGGGGCTGCGGGGGATCTTTGAGAGTACAGGTATACGTAAGCACTAAACTGCAATCTGGATTTCTGTTACCCTAAAGCGAAGCGCAAAGATTGGTAGATTTCTGGCAGATTCTTATGAAGTTCGTGCTCTTGCTGCAACAGGAATAGTGCTAGGAGCTGTGCTGTTTTGACGCTGTTCCTGCTTTTGTCCCTAAAAAACTTACTGTGGCTGTTTATGTGTTAAAACAGGGCTGACAGACAGCCACTCCTGAATTATGCCAACGCTATGATGGGGCTTCAGCCTGAGCGGCCAATAAAGTCAGGGCTGCATGGGGCACTTCGTAATTCCAGCTCGAATGAATGGTGTAGCCAACCTGTTCCACTTTGGCAATGAGAGGTGTAACAGTAGGATGGGGAACGTCGAAGCACCCCAGCATTTCTGTATCAACCACGGAGGGCTTCGTCAGTACGTACTGTGTGACCGGTGAATTTGCCTTAGCCTCCGATTCAGTCTGAACCTGTTCGCTGGACAGAATTCCATGAGTACGCAGGACAGCCTGTTGTTCTTCTGTAATCCCATCTGTATATACAGACCAACCGCAAACATACTTGCCTCTTCCTGGCCTCGTCCTGTTTTGACTTTCTTTCGTGGATGGCAGCAAAAGTTGGTAACCTTTTGAGGAAATTTCAGGAAATCCACATTGGTCGAACAATGTGCCTTCTGCTGTTTCCATCTCAATGAGGCAAGCCAGAACGACAGGTATTGATGTTCATCCTGAATCTGCTTCTGCAGCCCCGCTAGTAGAAGCTGACGGAGAAGTGGACAGCCGATACTACCGGCTGTGGCGATACGAGCACGGGGTCCCGGAAGGCCCCTTTGAGATCCCGAAAGGTGCGTCACCATCAATCCGATCCGCCAGTGTCTATGTCAAGCAGCTTCAAGGATTTGCAGCTTCATCTCGTTGATCCCTTGATAGGGAAAAGACCAAAGTCAAGTCAAAGTCATTACGTGCCAGCGGTCCTTAGTTCTGCACGAAAATTTAAAGGGTACCAGGCGGACTTGGGAGCTCGCAGAAGAGATAAATCTGCCTACTTCACATGGGCTCAGGAACATGTCAGGAACATCGGGAATCGCTGTTGGGTCGTATTGCAGGGAACTTTCCTCACACAAGGTCATTGCCGGATGGCAGTGGTAGAAGTTCTCGGTGCTTTCGTTTGTTGATTGATCGGGTAGAATAAGGTGGGTATGGACAGGATCACTCACATGGCAGAAACTTCGAGAAAAGAGTTTGAAGTGGGCGACAGTGGTTGCCGCTCTAATCAGCACGTTTACCTCGTCTGCGCTTTCGAAGCTGGTATGTCAGCGACTCGTTTCGAAGCTGTTATTTCAGTGATTCATTCAATGCGGGTGGTTCGACGCCCGACTTCTACGGGCCTCCAGCCTTACAGATGTCGCAAATGATCCCTGCAGGGGAGGCGATCCCTCTGGAATATAACCTGGATGGCTTGCACGGCATCAGCTACGAGAAAGGCTGCTATGTCGGACAGGAGCTCATCGCGCGGACGCACCACAAAGGTGTGGTTCGCAAGCGGGTGTTCCCCGTTGTCTTTGGCGAGGGTACTCAAGAAGGTGAGGGGGTCTCTTAGCTGCTGGTTTGAGGAAAGGTGTTGTTGAATGACTGGCTGGTAATTCGTACGACAAAAGTTGGCTGACATGACCATTGTGAGCATTGGTGCCTCAGTTGAGCATCGGTCCTCTGGTTAAAACAGGGACGAAGTCTTGTGGACGTGAGCAGCTCAATACGTTAAGCATCTGGTTCGATACGTTCAGCTCAATACGTTAAGCATCTGGTTCGATACGTTCAGGACGCATACCTGCCGGCCTTTCACCGGGATAGCCTTGTTCTTGAGTCGACTTACCGTCTTCGACCGGGATAACTTTGATCTCGAGTCGCTTATCGTCTTCGAGTATTCTAGTTGAAGCTTTGTAAGCTTCGGAAATGAAGAAGCACGAAGACGACGCTGGTTAGTATACAGGATCACCCGTTTGCCAAACTTATTACTTTGCTACGTCATGAGAGTTCTTTTGAGGACTGGCGCTTCCTTGCGGTTATTGCCGTAGCTTCCAGAACGAAGATAGACGAAGATCATCTGCCGTTTTGCAGCCGATGATCAGTACGTCCCTCCCGGTTCCGAGATCGTCGACAAGCAGTCGGGGAAGAAGGTCGGCAAGGTGACAGCGGCACTGGGCTCAAGAGGTCTTGCTCTTCTGAGGCTAGAGGCAGCGCTGAAAGAGGGCGCAAAGCTAGAAGTCAAGGGTAAGTGTGAGCTTAAAGCGATTCGGCCTTCGTGGTGGCCTCAAGAGTGGGGTCGAGAAGAGGCTTAGAAATGCATCCGGCAAGGATTCTGGGCGAGATCAGTTTGCGGGCTGCTGGAGAAGAGATCATCTCCTATGCACTTCCGGAGCAGCCTCTTTAATAAGGTTACGAAACCATACGGCTATAAGCAAGGCCAACGTAGGGAGGTCTCAGAAAGACGATATGGTCAAAGATTGTAAAGAAGATGGCAAGCCTGTCAAACCCGGTCAGCTTCCGTTTAGACCGCATCTTGGAATATGCAGGGAGCATCTGCAGCCGCCATGTCAGACAAGTCATAAGGCTAGTTGTTGTGGTGTGGCACACAACAGCTGCAATTCATTGTTGATCGTTCGCACGACTGTTTGTTGTAAGTTCGCGTTTGATTACGTGCCCTTTTCTTCCTTGACATTCCAGAATCGGGCGCCCCGTATGGCAAACCTTGCTCGAGCGTGCATTCAGATTATGTGCTGACGTTTTATGTATCATAGCCTATACCCGCGCTTCAAGATCTGGCACATGCGACGGCCGCTCGCCGGCTTCCAACCTATCCATATGCCCGGCCACCCACCCAGCTAGCTATAGATACGCAGGAGCCGCATGTGCCTATAGGCGATACACCTAGGCCGCGCCCGTCTGCTACTGCGCGCTGCCATATGCATGCATGGTTTGCAATCCATTTAATCTGCCTGCCGGTGAAAATCATCACCATGCAGTACTTCACATGATCCACTTATACAGACCAGGTGCATGAAAACCTTTAGTATAATGCATGTGCGATGTTTCCAATACTAACGAGTGGCAGATCGTTGGATCAGCACGATCTCACTATACTTGCGCGGTTTCCAAGATAGCGAGAATTATGTTTCCGTCCGAAGAATGCAACCGATCAGACGCTTGTTCCGTCTTCCAAGCTTAACATTAACCCTTTTCTTATCATATCTCAAGGCTCTTTGGCCGGGGCATCAGTGATCATATTCGCTGAAATTGCAAATCAGTGAACAATCATCATGCCATGAAGCAGACTGGACGCATATCGAATGGTCTGTACGTATTGCATTATGCATGACAGCAAGAATGATCGACTTCGCATGCGGTCTCTCACTGAAAGATATCATAGATTACTACAATAGTCCAGTTCAATGCGTTGTCGCCCTCGTCGTCCCTATGCAACATGCAGAGCAAAACTGTGTGTCAAGTAAGTACATGCAGTCCGGTCATATTTGCGCAGCTGGATGAGTGGCCCGCACGTAACGGACCTTGTTGAAAGCCTCAGCATGCATGGGGCATACGATCCTCGCCAATGCAAAGACGCGTGCCATCGCGTCCTGAATAACGATCATGCATGCCAGTGAATGTCAGACCAACATATACGTCTACCCTAGGCGTTTGACATCCTTTGCTTGGCCTGCAGAAGCTTCTGGCAGGCCTTCTGCCACTTCCAAAGAGCCAGCCTCTGCCGCTCCTCTATCCGCCCCTCAACCGCGGCCTGCCTCCACGCTGCAAAGTACCCTGCCGCCGACCTCAGACTCCAGACCCGCATCGCACGCTTCGCAAGGACGACGCGGCTCGTGCCAAGACCGTCCCGGCAGAACTCGTGCCACGATCGCCAAGCCCGGCTCTGCTCCGAGCTTCTCCACTGAGCAACCGTCTGCCGCATCAGACGCCGGCTTTTCCCGTACTCATTACCTACCCGCAAAGCGAATCGGTATGCAGCCTCGACCTCTTCCAGCCGAACTAGAGTTGCGGCTTGTGAATTCCCCGCGCCCATGGGGCCTTCAACAGCAGACTTCCGGCACTGCCCAATCAACTCTTCTAGCGTGTTGATGCCAAGAGCGCCCAAGCATACGTGCTCTTCCAACAGCGCTCGAGCGGGTGCTAATCTCGACTTTGGATGAAGACTCCACCACCGGTGCAGAATGACGAGAACCCCCACATCCACCGCACCGTCCGGGTCTACCGCCACTAGTCTATCTAACTCCGTCCGTTCCCTAACTAAACCCCGCAGATGGTCCAGCCGTTCCAGTAGCATCCCCAGAACGTTGCTCGCTAACCGCAGGTCTAGCTGCAAGAGAGTTAACAACACGCTTTCTAAGGAGGGGCAGGCGCTCTCGAGAAAACTCGAAACGGCGCCTTCCTCTCCGCAACTCGACAACACTGTCAACCCTTCAACGACGAAGTCCGCCGTTTCCTTTGCTAGCCCCGAGCTTTTCTTTACGGAGGCCCAATCAGTACCACGGCTTGTAGCGTTCTTCAAAACTCGATCTTCTACGTGTCCTTCTCCGGCCTGCCCCGGCGTGGACAACAACGCACCATCTTCTCCGACTCTGAGCCGCTCGTCCAATGCTGGAAGTAGTGGGCCGACTTCATCGTTAGGGAAATTTCGACTGGAAACAAGCGCGCCTGCCACTGATCGCCAGAGCTCCCGAGCCGCCGGACTCTGACCCCCTCTTTCAAGCTCTTTCCCAACTGCAGCTGCGAGGCGTAACAGCGCTTCCTGTGACAGCTGGACCACTTCTAGGGCTCCCAGGTACGACCCAGCCTGAAGCGCCTCCGCGAGTTGCCGCCAATCCCACGCAGTGAAAGAGCCCGTGTAAGCCCACTCGAGCACGGCCCGAACCCCCGCTGCACTGCACTCCTCTCTTGAGACGCACAGCTTAGTGGAGGGCCCCGAATGTACTCTACCATCCTCTACAAGGGGAATGGTCCGCTCGTCATCTTTCTGTGAGGCAAAGCGCACAGCGGCCGCGAAGTAGGGAACCCGTTGGCACACTATGCAGGCGTTTGCATATACCACTGCACTGCTGGCTCGATCAGAGCTCTGACTCCAACTTTTATGCTCTTCGCAACCAGGGAGTTGCCGACTGCTTCCCAGGACTTCGATCACTATGTCACCGCCCTGCCTTCCTTGCAGATCCTCAAAGAGAGCGCCCAAGGACGTGGCGAGGAGCCCAAGGCCTGCCTGGCCTGAGGCGCTTCCTAGCGGGCCAATGGTTTGGGGGAAACTGTGGTTGATGGAGAATCTAGGCGAGGCTTGAAGGGGCGGGGCCTTGAGATCTTCAAGGGCTCGCTTCTCCTTCCATTGGCGAAGTAGGTTAGCTGCGGCTTCTCTCTGCTGCCTGCAGTTTCCAAACGGCCAGTCAGGGACGAGGACTTCATACGTTATGCCCAATGACATGGCTATCGATGCAATCTGTTTGATACTCTTCCAGCGCCAAGGTCCTGAGTCAATGTAGCTCCTGCCTTGAGTTTCGTATTCTTCCCAAACTACATTGCAAGATGCTCATAGGCTGGTCTGGCCAAGACATCTCAGAGTCGTTTGAACCAGCCGGTTGGTATCAAGTGAGCAATCAAACTCTTAAGTCAGGAAGAGTCTGCACTGTACCTATGCTACAGAACAAATGCAATGCTGACCATCTCTGAGGGAAAGGGGGATCTTCCTGCCATACCTGTAAACGGTCCAGCCACTAAGCGTTCTGCTGAGGATTCGGGCCCGCCACTGCCTCTGCGCCTGCAGCTCTGCTTGGCACTTTGCAAGCTGATGGTCTAGAAATGACCGCCTGGGAAGAAGAAAGTATAGAAATAATGCTGTGGCGCTTATAAGTGATGTGGGCGAAGTGGAGGTTTCTCTCTCTTGTAGAGCAAGCGCATCGGTCAGTTGGTCCCCAAAGAGGGGTCAGTCAAGGTTTGGCAGCCCCCCGGTTCAGTTAACATCGCCCCCAAACATGCTCTATAGCATTGTGAACTGGTCATCAAAGACGCTTGAAGGTGAGATGCTTGGGGCTTAAGAAAGTGCTCTTTTGGGGGTTTCAGTTCTTCTATCTTTCATAGAACGCGGCATGTGCGCGAAGTTGCTCAACAGTCTGCAAGAGCTAGCTAGCCTGGTGCAGTCCTTTCTTGGAAGTAAGATACTTTCTTTTACATTTTCAACGTTCCAGAAGTCCCTCTTTGAGATTGGAAGTAAAATACTTCTTTCACTTTTTCAAGGTTCCAGAAGTTCCTCTTTGACATTGTAAGTTCTCTTTGCTGTTTCCGCCCTTGGTTTGGATGGTCTGCATACTTGATGGTTTGTGATGGCTTTTGACTTTCTTACTCACCATTGAATCCAGAAGACGGAGAGGGGGTTGCCGTGCATTCTCCATGCCCGCCATGCTTGTCGTACTGCTTCTTCAGAAGGAGGCTCCTCGTCCATTCTGGAACATATGTCAAGCTAATACGCCAAGCGACCGCTCCCAGAACGTTTGGACACACATACGGCGAATACTTCAGGATCAAGCAATGGGGGCTCTGCGGGCCTGTCCTTGGAGATTCACAGGTTTCCTAGATACCTAGGTACTCCGCTTCTGTCATCGAGGAACCTGAACGCAATGCGGCCGGGCGCCAAAGCCAGGTTGCGGCAGGCTCAGGCCCAGCTGGAAGAAAGAGTCGGACAGCCCAGTGCGTTTGCAGACCAAGAAATTAGGGTTTAGAAAGACATGGGACAAGGTCAGGTTGCATCTCATCCGTCCATTGGAGAACGACTGGTTTCCGACGTACGCTTCGCATCCACCTTGTGGGGCGATGGGCGTCCTCCGTTGACCAGCCCTAAAGCATTGCCCCAGCGCCATATGGGGCCTGAGAGAAACCATGGCTGCGGCAGCATTGTAATTTGAGCTACACGAGTACATATCAGAGTTCCTCGCTTGATTTTGCTTGCTGAGGCGCTCTTTGCAGTAGTGATCCATTGCAGGCTACTGCATGGAACATTATTGCTGGAGTCTACTCCATGGCGGCTGCTTTGCACTTGGAGAGAGGCTGCTTGAAAGCCTGGGCTCATGCAGGGGCTCGAGAGGCTAGGATGAGTAGCACGTTGTATGCTCGTCCTGCTGCATCAATCTGCAACAGGGCGTCAACGTCAGTCCTTGTGGAAAGATCTCCAGCAGCTTGCATGTCAACTGCCTCATTGGGAATGATGCCCAGTACCCAAATACCAAGCGGAGAACGTAGTGATCCAAGAAGTATTGCAGCAGCTTGTGGGACATTGTTTTCTAGACTGACGCAGCCAAAGCTTTCTGCATTGAAGAGGGGTGAATTTGCACCACCACCTAGAAAACACCTCATAGGTCCTCCAGGAGCAGCATCAGTTGATACTCCTGTAGTCCTGCAAGACTTTGCGAGCCAGCAGCTGCACAAAGGCATTCAAAGGAGATCTCTGACAGTCTGTGGTTCTGCACCAAACAATCAGGCAAGTGTGCCAGCTACCCGTCAGTTGTTTTTGATCACTGTGTTTGACTTTTCTTTTCTGCTTCAAACCTTTGATAAGTTTACTACATTGTACCAACTCAATGTTCACAGTCTCTCAGCATGTAAACCAAGGTTATTCAACTTCAAACTTCTAATGCAAAATTCATTCAACAGATAGCGGATGGATTCTTGACACCAGGGCCTGCACCAACTGAGAAAGGGTCAGATCTTATATTCATTGGCACGGGGACAAGTGAAGGCGTCCCACGAGTCAGCTGCCTGACGGACCCAGAGCGTCAATGCCAGGCAAGTCCCTCTTCGCGCTGCCGAGACTCTTAGTTGTTCAGTTGAGTCAGCTTCTCTGACCAACAGCAGCAACTCAGCTACACACTTGCCAGATGCGCAAGCTTACATTGCTTACATTAGAGATTATCCTCTGTTCGTAGTGTACTTGGAAAGCTGACGATGCAGACAGCGTCTCTGCAGATCTGTTCAGATGCGGCTCGGCCTGGGAGCAGAAACAGGAGGAGGAACACGAGCCTGATGATTCGTTATGAGCATCCCGATGGTCGGAGGAGGAACATTCTGATTGATGCGGGCAAGTATGAGCCAACACCCTGGAACATTCTACCTATCCGACGCAGAGGGGAAATTGACAGAGACACAGCTTACTTTTGACTAGCAAGTCTGTGCTTCGAAGTTGGGGATCAGGTTTGTACTTGCATAAGTGTTCCTGCTCAGACACCAAGTTTGGGAACTACAGCATAGAGCCTCTGCTTCAAAGGAGCACACTCAAAGGAGCAGGTTGTCTGCCCCTTCTTCTAGATGGCAACATGAGAAAGTGTTTCTCTGATGTGAATGCTTTTGCATACTCTTACAAATTGCTTCTGCTTCTGGCCCAGGTTCTTCTACCATAGTGCCCTGCAATGGTTCCCGCAACTCGGGTAAGTGGAAGCCACCGAACCAGCAATGCCTAGCTTTTTGTGGGACATGTATAGTAGTACGTTAACGGGAGTACCAATGAAGGTTCCTTTAGACTAGTGAATAGCTGTTTCAGATTTTTGTCTATCCTGGATCGTTTAAAATCATCTCTGGCCTCAATTCTAAGCACATTTTAACACAAAACTCCTCTTTGTCTCACAATCAACTGCCAAGATCCCTTTGTTCCCGTGACTACTTATCCAGAGGCACATTGTTGAAAGTTTGGCTTTGTCATCACATGAAACATCGTTCCTGCTCCTATCGTACAGGATCAGACAACTAGACGCCCTTGTAATTACGCACAGCCACGCTGATGCAATAGGAGGTGAGCCGCACGCCCACAGAATCATCTCTGACCAGTCGTTCAGGAACTCAAAGATGGAGCGGTTCCCTCTTCTCGAATACCGACTGGGTTTCACATCATAGCAGGTGTAGATTGGACTTGAAAGTATTTGGTACCGCTTTTGTTTCAATGGAGGTCGATATGAACGGAAGCTTAAGTTTTGATGCCGACTGTTCAAAGAAGTGATTTGGTTACCACAGGCTCCCTCTGGCATGCTTGGAGGTTCGGACGCTAAGTTGTATTTAATCAGAGTTTCTTGCGAGCAGGGATCCAACTCGTCATGCTGTTGAGCAAAACCTTTCTTCTCCTTCTCCTAATGTTAACAAAGGTCCTCATCGATCTTTTCAGGACTCGACGACCTGCGAGACTGGACGAACAACATCCAAGACAAGGTTCCTATCTATGTAGCACCACGCGACCTCGAGGTGGGTCTCGAGGCATGGTGCTTGGAGCTGCTGACGCTCGTTACAACGAGCATATGCCTGTCTCCCTCACCAGTTCTCACTAACATATTTGGTTGGTTTTGACAGTCTGCTTATGGACGCAAGAGTGCAAACATCTGTTTTGAAAGGCTCGTGCTTTCTGGTCCTCCGAACATGCCGCTGCGATCTGTTGGCTCTGCCTTGAACCCAGGTGCGTCTGTAATCGCAGGCTTTCACCAAAACAAAATGCCCTCTAAGGTCTCACGGAGTCACCGGAGGATGCTCGTCCACTCACTGCAAATCTGCTAAGCTTTTGCTCGTCAGCATCCTGAACAGTTTCGCAAGTTTCACCTTGACGCAGGTGATGGGCAGGACGCACTACTATCTTGTGGACCCGAGCGTCATCACCAAGGGCACCGCCGTGTCTACGCTGGACTTCAAAATCATGCCTGAGACGCCCTTTTCGGTTCAAGGCCTACAAGTAAGCGGGCAATTCTTACAGAGAGTACTCGACTGTTCATCCGGCTTCCGGACGGTCTCAAACCCAGCCTTTGTTAGACGATCATATTCCCTGTCTCGGCCTCAAGTTCTTTCGAACATTCTTCTCCGTGCAATACGAAGTCCGTGGTAAATCTGCTTCGCCTCTTGCAGGACAAGAAGATGCTCAACATTGTAAAGCCGAACCATGTTTCGCTTCCTCGCAGATAACTCCGCTACCCGTCTGGCATGGGAAAGGATACAAATCGCTTGGGTTTCGCTTTGGAAACATCTGCTACATAAGGTATGATCTTTGGGCTTGGCTTCGTGAAGTGTTGCTCGGCTGATTCACAGCTTGGATGTCTCTTGGAAGAGGGTCCAGGGGCGTATTGAGACGTTTCGATGCTATTGTGCCCAACTGATACAAAACATTCTTGCCATAACCTAGCACAGCCCACTCGAGAGCCTTGCTTTCGAACCAGGCCTGCATGAAGAATTACAAAGCCTCCCTCACCAGTTTTGAGTGCAGATGCTCCGGGATCCGGAATCGTCTCCGGAACCGGAACTCTCTTCCAAGACTGATGAGAAAAGCTCCGTTCTCCTTTCAGTGACGTCAGCAAGATACCCGAGGAAACGTACCCGCTTCTCCAAAATTGCGATCTGCTCATTCTTGTGAGCTCCCCAACCTCTCTCTAGCTTGCTTCCACTCCTTTCTGAAATCCGCTGGGGTAAATCGTTGGCATTCTGCACTTTACGAGAAGTTGGTTCGTCTGACTGGATGAGAAAGAAGGTGTCAAGTCAACCATCCTTGTCTTATTCTGCAATGGGCCGCGCGACTCGTGAGGACGCAACTGTGCGAGGTAGGTAGAATCATCGGCGAAATGACTGTTGGTGCGTTTTAGCACTCTTCTCAGGTTGCTAGTTGGGTCTCCTTGACCCAATCCATTCGCGGGCACCACCTTTAGTCCAATGCCAGGTGACTTGAAACAAGAAAGGGCAGGTACTAGAGGGATCCTGACGTCAGCTGCTGCCCTCACCCGGTCTGCAGGATGCTCTGCGGCCTGATGGCGGCAGCAGTACGCACTTCACTCTCCCGGAGTCACTTGACGAGGTGCGGAAGATCAGGCCGCGACGGACTTTGTTTACAGGTGAGGCTTCTTGCTCGCAGCAAACGTTTTGCATGATGAATCGAGCCGCATTCAACAGAATCATGCTATCCTATTCTCGTGTCGAGCGCATACGACCTCAAATCGACGAAACGTCGAGACGCGAGAGTCGCTGTTCCTACTTATGCGGCTCTTTATTTTCAGCATCAATCCTTTGCCTCTGAAGCGTTTCGGTTGTTAAGTGTCTCGTAATCAGATTGAGAGTACAGCAGTTACTAACGGCACGGCTCAGCCACTTGAGCTTGGGTTTCGGACCTTGGTACGCTTCATCTTCCTCTTTCAGGTCCCCTCGATTCTGTGCCCTATGCGAATCATTTGTCTTTGCATATTGTGAGGCTGACAATCGTGTCTGGCTGCAGGCATGATGCACAATATGGACCATGACGAAATCAACAAACAATTGGCGTTGCTGCGAGAGAGCGAAGGTATTGTAGCAGAGCTGAGTTACGACGGCATGAGGATACCTATCTCCTTGTAACGTCGTCAATAATGGTCCTTCCCTTAGCCCAAGTTGTAAAGAGAGCTTCATTAAGATTCTTTGTCTGGGACACACTATCCAGTCGGACTCCGTGGTTTTATGAGGTATAACAAACATCATGATCTGGAGTTGGGTGCTTTTCTTCGAAAAGCACAACTGCTGAGCAGGAAGAGGAGAATGCTTCTCCAACGACTGGGCCTTATATCTGGTGCTACGGTCTTGCATTTTTGTTGATATCCAAGCTTCATAAATCTTAGGCTTACAAATTACACTGCTCTCCATGTCTTTTCTTAGAATCGGCTCCTTTACAAATACCGCTGGCTTCGTGTGCGGGTTGATACTGCCTGACTCGTCCTGTACGACGCTATCGCGCGCTACCAGCCGCAGGCCTTACGTGACCTGGGTGGGCCATGGAGCATAACCTGAAGTGTGCTGGTGCATGATCGCGATGGGCGCGGGCCGCGTCCACTGTCCGACCCAACGGTAGCGCCCGGGGTTCAGGGGTTTAAGGCAGGATCGGACGGTCAAAGGTGACCGTACGAGATCCGTCCGGACTCCGACGGTTATTGGTACCAGTTGGATCGACCGCTCGAAATGATTGTCCCCGTCTTGAAATCGACGTCAAGAGAGGTCCTCTTGACCTTCTGTGCGCGTACAGTTCATAGGTTGTATGGCGTTGAATGCAGCTAGGTTCTGCGACGGAGAACTTAAGCCTACCATTACCTATCTAATAAAGTAAGGTAGGTACCTACTACCATGGGTACGGTAGTACGGTATGTACGACTACCGCCGCCGGTGTACCAGTGCCTATGTACATCCTAACAGTACCGTACGTGTGGCTACAGCTGTGACATGCAAGACTTTGCTCAAAGTCTCGTGCAGGACACTTGTAGGTACCTTGGCCGGGTGGCAGTTAACTCACACTACATGGTTTGTAAGTGCTGCATTCCTGAAGTGCGCCCGTGATCAATCTTTGTTTGTGCCCGTACCAACCAGATAGGCCGATACCGCCTACCTACCTAGATATGGTGGCGGCGTGCTTCTGAGTAGGAGTGTCTGAGAAGGAGTTCAAGCTCAGGATTGAAGAACAGGAGAAGGCTCGTTGCACCACCTTTGAGCTGTGAGGTTTTGTTGGAGCTGGTCGCTCTTTTCTTTACCCTTTTTGCCAAAATCCTGTCGCTCAAACCGGCCAAGGTCCTTCCCAGGCTGCTGCATGGCAATTCGCCAGCTGACGTAGCCATGGCATTACTTCCACCCCCACCGCAGAGAGGGCAGCGCCTCAGCTTCCTGGGCACGTCATTGTGGACGCTGGACAGCGTGGACTCACTGATCCTTCCAAACGAGAGAAGAAAGTACGAGCAGCATTTTCACCAGCTAGACGCAGACCGAGATGGGTTTGTGCAAGGTGGGTCATTTGCAACCAAAGCTTCTACTTGTCTGTCTCTTGTCAGATTGCCCCCTAGACAAGCTAGATGCTCCACAGACTCTGTGTCATATTCTAGCTCTTGTGTGATCTCCCTTCTTGAAAAAGTATGATATGTGACAAAGCTGGCCAGTTAGGCAAGGATATCAGCTGACATTGAGCAATGTCGACCAGATTGGACCTGGTGAAAGATATGCTCTTTTGTTGGTCGTTGCCGAATATGGAGCTCAGACTGAGTTGGCATTTGGACTCAGACGCAACGCGTTGTGTTTGAAGCACCTTGTGGAAGGGTTTTAAAGCGTGCTCTTTACCGTGGCTAAACATCTACGCAGTCTTTTACCAAAGAAAATGGGCACTATAGTTACCCCATGCTGAGACCTGCATTTTGCCCGCCAGCTGACCACTTAGTAGAGTTCCATTTGTTTTGCCCGTCACGTTCTGTGCTCCGCTTTCCTGGCCTGCCTTCACTTCCATTCAGGAGCCTGAGAAGTCGACTGTAACTGTTTTCTATCTTGTTGCAATTCTAGCCTGCTGATGGCGCGATCTGGCCAAGCTCTTCAGGGATATCAATAAACCATCCGGCCCTCACAAATACTCCCCTCGCCACGCAGCTCCTGAGGGCAAGCACCTGCTCGCCCGCTCCAAAATCCCCGCGCGCATCATCGACGAGATCTGGGCCTTTTGCAACACGCCGCGCTCCTCGGGTCTCTCCTGCCGGGAGTTCACATGCGCCATGCACCTCACCTTCCAGGCCATGCATGTGACGAGCTCCGCTTTGGGGGGCCAGCCCCAGCAGGCAAATGCGACCCCCCAAAGTGGAGAAACGAAGACGCCGGTCGTGCCTCCCCCTTGGTTGTTGGCGGCTCAGCAGGAATATAAGAGCAGTCAGATGGTGTCCCCTGTTACCACCCCCCCACCAAGAAAACCCAGTGTAAATACCGCCCCTGGAGTGATCCAGCCCGCTAGTGACAAGCCAGAGAACTGGGAGAGGTTCTCCCCAACAGGGCCGGGAAGTGGGTTTTCAAATGTGGGCCAGGGTTTTGTGCCTGCAAACCAAGGTGTTAGCTTCGTCGGTAGCGGGTTAATAAGCCCGGAGGTCCTCCCGACACCCTGGGTTACGTTCGACTCCGGCGATAACCACCGGCGCCTGAACCGGCACACGTCCATGCCAGAAAGCCAGCTTAACCCCGTCTGGTCAACAATGACCCAAAACCGGGGCTTCCGGGAACGACAGCCCTCGGGTCCGTTTGCACCGCAGCCTGCAATTTTCCAGGGGGGGCAAGAGCAAGCCTTTGAGAGGACCCTTTCCCCAGAGCCCAAGGACCCCCTGATAGGCACTCAGCCGGATATGATAAGCCAGCGGAGCGCTCGGTTGAGGCGGCGGCCAATGACGTACGAGATCGGGAAGCGCCAGCAGAAGCGGCGCACCCGTTCGTTGTACGGTACCCTAAGTGAGGACCTTACTTTGTATTCCGTGGAGAACAGCGATAGTGTGCAGATCAAAGGAGGGGCGCTCAGCCCAGTTCCCGAAATGGTCGATTCACTGCCCCCAGTCGCCGTAGAGGACACAAGCTCTGAGAATGTTACGGAATTTCAATCGCTCCAAGCGCAAACGAGCGCTGAGGCTGAGATCAATAACCAAACTCCTCGGGCGCGAACAAGCAGCTTGACGGAGGCGAAGCCTTCCGGGCAGTCTCTGGAAAGCCAAGAGCATTTGAAGCAGAGCACCGAAATACTAGAGGTCGTTGGGTTGACAAACAAGCTTCGGGAAGAAGAAGAGGTGCTGCAAAAGGAAATTGTAGAGGCAAGAGGCGAGGAGTCGGGGCTCCAGAAGCGGTTGGAAGAAGTGACGGCGGAGAAGAAGGAAGTGGAGGAAACAATTGGAAGGGGAAAGAACGAGCTGCAACAGCTGCGGTCGAATGTGGACGATCGACGAGCGGAGCTGACGCGACTGGAAGACGAGGTGGGTTTCTGGAGCTCTTAAGTTTTATGCTTCGTTTTGGGCTCTTCCCTTCTGTAATGGTTGTCTTTGTTTCTGTATTAGTTCCGGGGGCTCTTTGTTTCTTCTCTTAACTGTGGCCTGCAAAGTTCTTTCATGTTCGATTATGAGACAGGATCCGGCTCATGCGAATCGCAGAAGTCTGCGGGTTCCGTACTTCCAGCCTTTTGCATTGCCACGGGTTATTGTGTTCAGTCGCTTGGGTGCCATTCTGCAAGTCGACTTCTGAGCGCAACTTGAGCTCGCGTCGAACGATGAAAAACTGACATACATCAAAATGGCAACTGCCGGATGATGAAGCGGGTCAAACATGTGCACTTTTGCCACAAGATTCAAGTGTCACGTATTTGCGAGAAAGCTACAACCAATAAAGCGCGAAACCCTGGTGCGCCAGGTCTGCTGCTTCGATCGCAAGCGGTTCGCGGACTGATAGTGCAGACCCAAAGAGATTGCAGGTTTGGATACTGTGATTGTTTTCAGAAGCGACTCCGGGCCACGTTGAGCTTACTTGCTCGCCAAGTGTACATCGAGTGAGCACTAATATCGAAGCATCTTGTGTGAATCTGACACACATCATAAGAGCGAAATACAGATGGCGCATACGTTGACAGCCCACTCAATGTTGAAGGAACGTCCATCAAGTGAAGGACCAATAGCTTGCTTACTCCCAGTACTTAATTCGCAGATGCACGATCTCAAGCGGAAGCGCAGTCAGCTTGATTCCGAGAAAGACAGCCTACAACTAGAGCTGGTGAACGCGGAAACGCTTCTGCGGGAGAAGCGCGAGCGGCTGGAAGCAGAACGGGCGAGGACTACGCAGGCGGAGGAGACGGTGGCAGCTCTCAAGACAAAGGTAGGTGCAAGTTGGGGCTGTAGTTTTAGATGCCAAACAAGGGACGTCCTTCTCATACAAGAAGTGACCGGAGATTGGCAGTTTGACCTTTGGTTTGTCCTTACAGAAGCATGCACTTGAGAGCCAGATTGCGGAGCAGAAGAACCAGAAGCGGCTCGAGAGGCAGGAGAGCAGGTCTCACTATCGGGAGTGGTGTGGCGCCGATTGTGATCAGAACTTAGATCTGAGTCTTATAGTCGTTTTATGCTCGCAGAATACCTCTCAGCAATTGCCGTCCCCTTTTTTCCCTCAGTTGAGGTCTCATTCTAATCATGCCTTGCACCATTTTGCAGTACCTCGCGCAGTATCTGCGCAATGCTTAGGCACAACTCCCTATTCTTCGCGAGGTCAGCAGTTCGTTCTGGTCTCCCCTCCGTGCAGATGCAAGCGAGCACATCCGCCCTGAATGAGGTTAAGCCGACGGTTTACCCCCGACCGTTGAGCAAACCCGAATCAAAAACCGAGCCCCAACCGGCACCCGTTCCTTGGGCCCCTCTCGCCGTCCAAGTCCCCACCCTCTCTCCAACTTCCCCCTCCCCTGCCGACGCGTCAACCAACCAGGCCGCGCCACGTGGCCCTATGAGCGGCACTCCGTTCTCCGCATTTGACGGGGAAGACCTCTTCAAACTAGAGGCGGAACTAGGGGAGGGCAGCTGCCGCCAGATGCTGGCGGAGGACCAGAGCCCCGGTTCGATGGGGTTCGTTTGGCCCGCGATCTCCCCCCCCGTCACGAGACTGCCTACCCTGGCCGTGAAGAAAGGTGCGCAGCCAGATGGAGGACACGTGGCGCCGATCCCAGCGCAGGCGCCTAATGAGGGAGAAGAAAATGAGCGCGAGGTGATAGTCGAGGTGAAGGCGCCTGCGAACAGCACGCCCAAGCAGACGGGGACACCGAAGGGGGGCATTTTGTCGCCCAAACGGCCCCCCCCGCCGCCGCCGACGAAGGTCCCCACTGCAGCCCCGGCCGACGCGGTCCCCGCAGCCGCGGCCGCAGCCCCCGCCCTCCAAAACCCTCAAACCTCCCCCAGCAAGATGCGAAACAAGGCCGAGAGCGTGACGCTGGATTGGGCGAACGGCGAAGACTCGTGGCTGCACTTCGACGATTCGCCGCCGCTCGCTGGCCTTCCCGGCGGAAGCCCGCTCTTGCCCGACGTCGTCGTTGCTGAGGTCAGCATCCCGTCCGCTGACGTCAACCCGGTTCCGCTCAGCGCCGCGTACCTTTCCGCGAAGGTCCACCCGGAGCCGGAAGGCGGACCGCTTTCCCCTGACAGCCTCGCGGCGCCTTCCCCGAGCGTCAGATCGTTCCTTGGGGAACTCGCCAGTAGCGAGCGGGGACTGGTCACCGGGCAGAGCTTCTCGGCGACTGAGGGCCCTCAAAAACCCGCCTTTGCGTCGCTCGCAACATCATTATCCCCCTCAGTCCAGTCCTTCCTCAACGTCTCCACTTTCCCCGCCGGCCCGCCGACCAGTCTACCGTCCGCCATTCCAGCAGCACTTGGCGGCCAGAACTTCCCCGTTGTGGGGGGGCAAAACTCGCCGTCTGCTCCGGGCTCCCCCGCGCAGTTCAAGACCCCCCTGCGGAAACCGCCGCCTCCTCCGTCCGGCCTGAAAAAGACGGGGGGGGCCGAAACCCCAAACCCCGCGACCCCAAACCCCGCGACCCCGAATACCGCGGTGCAAGATGCGCCTCCGGGGCAACTAGTCTGGGCGGAGTTTGGCGACGCGGAACAGCAGAAAGCCCCCGCTTCTGCTGCCCCGACCGCAATATCTTCCGACGGCACACCGTCAACGGGGTTCGCAAAGTTAGGGGAGCCGTTAAGCCCGTCTTCGGACCTTTTCATGAAAGTGGGGGGCTTGGGCGCACCCGCAAAGCTCCCCTCCGAATGGACAGCCCTGCGTCCGAATCCGGTGTACGAGCCGAACGGGGGCGTCCGAAGGCGGCGCTCCTCGGACGGCGACCTCGTCCAGGAAAAGAAACCGCCCCTGGTCGCCGAGCCCGAGCCGAAACTGCCCGCTTCAGAACCAACAGCCGCCCCAGCGCTTGCACACGCTCCCGCCGCTGCATCACAGACTGTGACGTCACAAAGCGTGACGTCACCAGGTGTGACGTCGCAGCCGACGTCACCCGACTCGAGCCGCATGAACTTGCTGGAGGACGACTGGTTTCTGGCGAGTGGCCAAACGCCCACCAGTCCCTCCGCGGTTGCTCAAAATGCGGTCGGGGATGCCAACCGGGGTTCCGCTTCCGCTGGGCTCCGGCCACTCACTGAAGCGGACCGGAAGAAGTGCACGGCGGCTTTCGAGAAGATTGCGCGTCCGGGCAGGGAATTTGTCTCCCGGACGGAGGCTGAGGGGATATGCAGCCGGGCAAACATTCCGGGGCAGCCCTTTGAGAGACTCTGGTGAGTCAGCAGTGCGAACTGTGACAGACCGACTGTGAAGAATATGTTTCTTTCGTATTGCTGAGGTGACTTCGGTTTTAGACTTTGCAAGGGTCTTACGAGTAAGTTGTGATCATGAATGCATGAACAATCGCGTAGAAAATACAAGCCTGAAGCCTGCACATGCGTCAACGTATTGAAAGTTTTGATGCATATGTCGTGATAAGCTACGTCATTCCTCCATTCCGGATATTTCAATGTCGTCGGATGCAAATGCGCACTTGCCCCAAGCAAGCAGTACAGTTCCCGCACAAGTGCTTCCAACGTCTTACCAAAGCTATCTGCCGGACCTGAAAATTGACAAGGGTGACTTCAAACAAGTCTTTTGAATTCGATTGCAGGGCTCTGAGCGACCGGGCCGAGGACGGGGTCCTCGGCAAGGATGAGTTTTGCATCTTCCTCCTCCTCATGAAAGCGGCCGCCGCTCGGGAGCAGCTGCCCGGGGGGCTGTCCACCGGCGACGTCTCCCGCCTGCTCGGGCACGAGTTCGTCGCCGAGAAGATCACCCGGAGCTTCATTCCGACCCCGGCAAAATCTTCACACGGGAGAACGCCGACCGCGGAAAGGGGGGGGTCTCCTGGCACAGATTCGGGCCCCCGGAACGTCGTTCTGGGCGCCGATTTGGAAGTCCCCCCTGCGCTTTACAGCTCGCCCCCCCAGTTGGATTCTCCCACCGCTAGGGGTGATCTAAGCCCGGGGAAAACGCCAGGACCCGGGGGAGAGGCCTGGGAGGATTACCTGGCGAAGCGGGTCGGTTCTGCGGAAGACAAACCCTCTCTAGCTAACGCTAACCCGACAGAGGGTTCGTTCGGCGACCAGTCCCCAAGCGTGTCCCGCATCCCGTCGCCCTCAAAGCGGAGCAGCCTTCCCGAGACTGGGGGGATCACCCCTGTTCAAGGCGGAAGCCCTCTGGTCCAAACCGTGCGCCCGCCGAGCGTCGTCGCCCGCCCGCTTTCCTCCCAGTCGTTCCGCTCCGCTTCCTTACGGATACGAGTTGGACCGGAAGACGAAGACCGCGAATCCGGTCGTTTTGTAGGGGAGCGCGTGCGCCGATTTAGCAGCCAGGAGGGGGGGATAGCGTATCTGGTGGGCATGGGTTTCGGCCCGAAGGCGGCCGCGGCCGCGACCGCGAGGTTTGGGAGCGATCTCCAAGCCGCCGTCGCGTGGCTGCTCGAGCAACCGGGCCGGGGGGTCGACCCGGCCGACGTGCTCGCGAGCGCGGACCGCGATCTGTTTCCGCTCACACCCCCTCCGGCGGAAAAGACAACCGCCCGGAACCTGTTGAACACCGAGCCGATCGCGAGCGACAGCCCGCCCGCGGGCCGCGGACTTGACAGTGCGCGCGCGAGGCGCCACGTGGCGGGCGGGGAGAGCAAGATCCCGAGCCCCCCCCGGAGAGACGGCAACAGTCCGAACGGTTCGCCGGTGAAAAAACCTACGGTTGTCAGTCCGAGCATGTTAAAACCGCCCGTAGAAAGCATGACGCCTCCATCCGAATCCAGTCTTAGAACGCCGGAAAGCCCCGAGAAGAAGTTCGAGCGGAATCCGTCGATCCTGGACCGGATCGGGGCGGCGGAATCGGACGGTTCGGACGAGGAAGAAGAGGTGGTGGTTGGGACGGAAGTCGAACGTCCGCAGAGCGCCCGGCCGCCCGGGTCGCCGCTGAGCCAGATGATTGGCAGTCTGTGGGGGGCAGGCAAGACCGCGCCCGGGACCCCCACGGGGCAGACAAAGATCGAAAAGGGCCTCGTCGCACACAACGTGGAAAAGTGAGCGGGCGAACATCTTTTTCTTCTTCTGAATCCTGTTTTTCCCTTGTTGTAGGTCAAGAAACGATGAGCACCAGCAACCTATTGAAAGGTATTCCGCCACGTTTCTGGAGGGAACGGCAAGGCGCCTGACGCGATCCTTGCCTGCTAATTAGCGGCGACTTCTTTCCATTAAAATTCGAATGCACGACTCCATTAAGAATCTAGCCAATTGGCTCCTTCCATACTGACAAGTTTTGTTCAGATGCCGGACACCGATTATCAGCAAATTACGCAGGAAGTGGTCAGGCGCAAAACCTAATCCTTTTGGAGATGACATTGAACTCTCTAGTGAGTTGTTACGGAGGGTCTCCCACCTCCTTGCTGCGGCCGGGGTTGAACGGAAAGAAGAAAGATCAACATCTTTCTCCAACATCTTTGTCATCACTCTCCGCCCTCGTCCCGCAGGTTCGAGAAGGGGGCCGCGGCCAACTGCGGTCCGCGCTTCGTAACGCAGCTGCCGGTACAGCTGCTGATTGAAGAAGTGGCGCTTGAGGACGCCGACGACCTCCGGGACCCCTTTATCACCGTTGCCGTCTATGGTGAGCCGTCCGCAACCGTCCGATTTGCCTTAAGGACGTCCGCAACCGTCCAGTTGCCCGCAACCGGCTGCCCATCCAATATAGCCGTCGGCTAGCTTTCCACATGAAAACAAGGCGCCCACACCCCTGAATCAGACTTCAAAATCATTGCAACCATCCAGTTTTGATTCCAGGTGTAGTTGAAAACTTAAAAGGCCTTTTTCAGAGGGTATTTTCGTCCCCAGGCATTCCGTATCTTTCCGGGTCTTGCAGACAGTGTTCCTTTCTTCCAGCTTTTCTTTAGCTCAAAACAGGAACACGCGTGTCTGCATGAGAAGCTCAAGCCTCCATATAACGGTTTGCGTCTGGGGTGGCAACCAGCTTCAGCGCACCTCATGCTGACGTCCCTGCCGTGCAGACGAGTCGGGCGCCTTGATAGAGCCCGCGCAGAATACCAGCATCGTGTCAAACGCCGATGAGCGGGGCATCGTCTTTGGGACGCGTGTTGACATCCTGGGGAAAATCCCGGCAGTGCCGCCGTCAGGTGAAAATAGCCCCCCGAACATTTTTCATGCAACGTAGAACATCTTCAGAGTCTGGTGAAGGTTGGAACTTGCTGAATTTTTTCTTTCTCCTATCTCATGTTCAAGGATATTGCACTTCTCCCTAGCTCTGCTTGCTGATCCACGTTGTTTGGAGGGAGCCTTTCCACTATTAGGAGGTTTGCAGATGAGTTCTCAAGCTTGATGACAGACCTGAAACGGAAGCAGAAACGACTGAAATCAGTATCCGACAATCCGACCATAGAAGACGAACCGAATCCGGTGAAATCGACCGTTGATCATGCCTTACCTTCCAATTTGGAAGAACTTTCCTACGCTCTTTGGGTGGTATTTTGCCTTCGGTCGGCTTCTCAAAAATATATCAGGTCGTCTGTATTCATTGGGAACTATTACGGTACGCAGGAACGAAAGTGTGCTTCGAGGTGCGGCACTTCAAGCGGGGCGAGACGAGCAAAGCCAGCACCAAGTGCTGGACCGCCATTAACCTGGAGGAGATGGCGACCGGGCCCCACACGCTCGTGCTGTAAGCGTCGCCTGACTGACTTCCCGGTTCAAGCCGGAAGTTCGGGCTTTTCTGCAATCTGCTGTTGTGAGATGATTAGGAACGTTACGTGCAATATTATTGCTGGTTCGCGAGGAGGGATGGAGTCAGTGCAACTCATGAAGAAAACGGCGAGAGGTGAAAAACTGTAAAGGGAGAAGGTTCTAAAGCCCCAAGTGCCATGTCGCACCGGTTTCTGATCTTCTGTGCTTTTCGTGCAGGTTCAAGAAGCCCGTCGACCTCAAGGCAAAGCGGGCAAAGCTCCTGAACGGCAAGCGGGACGTCCTCAAAATCAACGTAGACTTCCAAGAATGAGTCACGTCCGATTTCGTCATCGTGGTCCGTCATCATTTAAATCAGAACACATGCTTCTTTCTGATCGGCGGTTGGATAGGCTTGTTCTTCACTGGAACAACCCCAGGTGTTGTAGCAGAGGACTGTTATGAACATATCTGAATAATGTGGCACCTGTGAGGTGTTGGCTGGATCGCACTCGTGAACCCCACATTTTAATCACTTCTGCAGAAAGCACATCCACTGCCCAGCATGCTTAACTTGGACCTGGTACGAACGTCCCGATCCCTTGATTGCCCAAGAGCAAGAAATTTTGCCATGTCCGTGCCTGGGCGTACGGTCGGATGCAGCGACAACAATTTTGGCATGCAAAAGAATCGTGTGTAAAGTATAGCGGATCGATTAGATTGTGAGCCGGCTCGAAGCCCTTGGAAGTCGACAATACCCAATTAAGATGGTTGTTCAAAGCTTTGCACGAATCTCATGGAAAAGCTATATATAGCTTTTCCAAGATTCCTATAGGTAGCCATCCGCAGCTGCGCGCGCGGTGCAGCATATAACCACTAAGCTACATGTGGCGGACGACCTTGGCTCGCGTACAAACACTGGGTGTACAGCTAGGCTTACGTTGCATATGCAACAGGGAGAATCAAGCTTGATACTGCAAGGCAACCAGCACTCCAATAGTTGCATTATATGTGATTGTATCGTGTTTAACTGCACATGCACTGATTTGCAGAATTGATCTATAATCTATTTGATGCTAGCTAGCACGTAGCCGACGGCCCCCCTAATTTGTCGATTGCTCCAGCAAATGTACGTCTACATAAGCAACCATGCTCCAATTGGGTAAAGAGACATTGTTTCAATTGTATGCAGTGGTCGTGCGGAAATTGTTGTGCAACACTGCTATCTCGACAAGCAGCCGCGCCTATATATGAAATGATAAGTGAGCTGATAGGCGCGTAAAATTGCTATGCACTAAGTGACTTGTATAGGAACGGCACGGTTGGCCTCAAAACAGAGCTCTCAAACGCTTGTGGAGGACAACAAGAAACGTCCCCATTGCATTCCGAGATTGTGAAGTCCATTGACATGAATCTGCTTGTATCTCACACTGTCGAAGAATAAGTATCTACAGCTGGCACTGCACCTACAATTTTGCCAAATGTATGGCTCTTGCCCTCCCTTGGGCTCAAATGGCAGGCAACTTGACCGTCGGTGTCTCGCACACACTGCTGCTACCTGGCAACACAGTCTGCGCGCTAGAGCTTTCGAAAGACGAGCTTGAGTATGCACAAAGACCTCTCACCTAAGCTTCATATCACTCTGCCTAACTGATGGCGGTCCTCAGATAGACAACTAACTTCCGTGATCTCAGTCAGACACATATGGACAATCTAAGACTACGCACTCAGCCCGGTGTCAGCTCAGCTTTAACCGCTTTGGCTCCGGCTTGTTGGCTTCCGTTAGTACAGTAACCAGGTTTGTGACTGTCTCCTTCAAGCGAAGGTTCTCTTCTTCGATCTCCGTTAACCTTGCGTTTGTGGCAAGCAACCTAACAGCCTCAGACTCCAGCCTCGCAATCTTCCGCTTCAGAGCCGTCTCTTCTTCCTGCACCCATCCAGATAATGGTTAATCCAATGTCCAATACGCACATGGTAGAGGAGACATACAGTATTTCGGCTTCAGCGAAATTACTATCCCCTAATCGGTGATATCCGGGACAAACAACAGACCTAGATTGCTGCCAACTGGTTCTTTCGAGCCTCATGAGGGTGCAGATTGACAGGTGTCTCCACAATTTCTGGACTGATACCGCACCGTTCAAAGAGCAGCGCACCTCGACCAGGAATGTGTACCACAATTCAGTGAAGCAGGCACTGCCTGGATATGCAACAGTCCTCTATCGTTGAACAAAGATGAAAGCAGCACCAATGAGAATGCACTTTTGCGAAGCTTGCTCGAGCAACCCGATCATAACAATTTCTCATCGACCCTGACCGGTGGCGATGGAAACCTTTGCCTTGCTGCTCCCGAGTGTGACTGATCAGTGCACAGATGCTCGAATACTCTTCGGAGATGAACCCAAAAATGGCCGTCAACTCCTGGCACTCACCTTCATGCGCACTTTCATCACAAGCATCCGTTCCCGAAAGCTCCGCTTGACATTGACCAGCTCGTTCTTATAGTACAGGTCCTGCGCCCAGGCTTCTGAGCGGTGACATTCTTTGCGTGTCCCCTCGCATCCGTTGTCAGGAAACCCAACCCTCGCTTCCACCGGCAAAGGCTCAGGAGAGACGCTCTCCCGTGCTGCTCCAGACATGATAAAGGTGTTTCCGCTGCTGGTGCTGGTCCCGCCCGACAAAAGGCTGCCTGATGACTCGGTGGACTCGACCGGAGACCCTTCCCTGGAGCAGAAACGGAGAGAGTCGGCGCCAATTGCGGCTGGCTCAGTGCCTGGAAAAGAAAGGCCTTCTGCTGCCATGGCTAAGGAGCGTCCAGCATAACATTAGAGACCGTACATCGAGCGCTGTTTGGAGATGTGGGCGGCTACGGAAGTCGGATCAAGTGGGGTTAAAGGTATGTACAGGAAGATGGGAGCACTTGATTGATCCTCAGCTCCTCCTCAGCGTATAAATAGCAGCCTTCTACCTAAAGCTAGAGCTACCTTTGGACCGCCTTGAAGGTGGCGCCTCCTACCCTAAAACTCCTCGTTCCTACTCTGCATTTCGCGACTCACGAGTTCGTTCCCGTGCTGATCTGCATGCTGTGGTGCACGAACTGGGTAAATCCAAGGATTCATGCCGGTCCCGGTCACGGTCCGGGTCAGTGCAGCGGAAGGAGACGGTTCCGATCCGTTGCGGTGACGGGGTTCACCATCTGATCAATGGCATTATTTTTACGGCCCAGATTGCGCGCGCGTGCCGAACGGCATATCAACGGCGTCAATAGCAACCGGCACGTCTCTCCGGAGGCAAGAACCGTCAATGTGCCGGTAAGTTGGACCATGTACCGCAGAGGAATTCTGGGCCGAGACCCCCTGCTGGATGTCGAGCGCGGCGGAAGTGAATCGGTCCGGGTGCCGAGAGTGTCGATTTAGGGCCCGGGGCGGTCGAGGGGGTTAACAATCCGACCCAACTCACGACCAGAACCCACCGGACGGGACCGTAAACCTAGTGTCCGGGGATATTTCACGAGTAGACTGGGAAAAGGGCCCGGAATGACCAAAGCGTCTATTTAAGGAGAAGTCGCCCGGCCGCTGTGAAATAACCTCCACTAACTAGCAAGTAGCCCGGCCATCCATCTGGATCCTTGACATCTTGAAGAAGAGATGCAACCAACCCCGGGTTTCAGTGTGGCCCGACCAAACATTTCGACTCATAGCTTGCACCCGGCCAGTCAAAGGGAGATCAACTGTGGCAACATTATTGTGGATCCACGAGTCTACGGGACCATTCCCGCTAACTCACTGGCTACCAAGTGCCCGCTTTGCAAACAAACACTTCTGACGAAAGATTACCAACTCACATTCCGGAAAAGCCAAGCACTGAAGGGCTTTGCAATCAACTCACCCGAATCAGTTGTGGCAAGGGTCAGAGAAAGCGCCAGCCTCTATGTTTGGAGTGCGTAAAGCGGCATTTCGGTCCTGTCACCCAGTGTGGTGACAAACTGACAATCAGCGTAGCAAGGACCAACCGGGGCTCGGCGGGTTCAGATGAGGTCTGGTTTCAGCGCAAGTCACTAGGGGAGGAATGGCGCCAACTGAAGGAGTTGTCGGGCGAAGAGATTGGCAACCTGCGAGAGAAGGCGGAGGAAGAACGGCCGGGCGGGCGCCGCAAGACAATTGCAGCGCAAGCAGCGGTGAACAGGGGGCGAAAAGTGGGGGAGACAGCAAGATCCAGCACGCAAGAAGAGGTAAACAGGAATGCAGAATTTCAAACCCTAATAGCCTCTGCATCTGTTTGTGAATATTTGATTGAGCACTCTGCATATGCTTTTTTTCAGCCTAGAAATTGTTGCATGTTTGATCCAAGTGTGCACAACAAGAAAACACATACGGTAACAGAAGAAGAGTCAAAGATCTTATCTTGATGGATAATACCGCAGCTAGGAGCATTTTGGAGCGTTTGCCTCCCACCATTTGCGGCATATCTGACTATGTTCCTATTGTGGACGCAGGGACAACTTCACACATGGAACGGCAAAGCGTCTGGCGCAGATGATCGCCGAACCGTCGTCGACCAAGCTGTGATGTATCTCGATGGCCTTCGAAGAGGAGAGAGCGCTTTTTACAGCGTCGGCAAGCAGGGATCCACTAGTACGGTCTATCTAGCTAGTACTTGGAATCACAACGCCGCCAGACCCAAACCTCTCGGGCGCCCAAGCAAAGTGCGCGCGTTGCTTGAGAAGGTGCACCGGGACACCATGGGAAACCTGAGTTGCACCTGCGACCGGGGCCGGTTGTACTCGCAGGCGCCCTGCGTGCACAAACTTACGCTACAGGCGTTGGAGTCGCCGAGGCTAGCTAGCGCCATATTGCTGCAAAAGGGGCCACGGGTGGTAGAAATTCCATGCGACATGGTCAGGGAGCGGGTTTTCGGGGTGTACTGGAATGCTGGTTCGCCCTCACCTCAGAGGACGATGGTCCACTATGGAGAGGAGGCGCAGATGGGCTGGTATTGCGAGGGGCGGAAGAGCGGCGGATGCAGCAAGACGGCTGACTGTTCGCACATTCAGGGGGTGAAGCGAGCTTTGAGCGGACCAAGCGGTGTGGAAAAGCTCAGCACGAGTTCGTTTTCGGAGGAGCAGCTC